CGAACGGCTCTTTCGATGGATGGAGAAGTTGCGTGAGCACAGCGAGAGGCCGGTGCCGGATATGCTTGTGCTACCGCTCACAGCATCGCTGCCGCAGGAGGTTCAGTCACGTGTCTTTGAGCCCACACCCCCGCGCTGCCGGAAGGTTGTGCTTGCCACCAACGTGGCTGAAACATCCATCACTATCACTAACCTGTACTTTGTTGTTGACAGTGGGTTCTGCAAGCAGAATGTCTTTGACCCCAAAACAGGAATGGAACAACTGAAGATTGTCCCCATTTCACAGGCGCAGGCACAACAACGAGCCGGGCGCGCGGGGCGCATTGGTCCCGGGAAGTGTTTCCGTATGTACACAGAGCTACAGTTCCAAATGGACATGGAGCCTGCCACGGTGCCAGATATCCAGCGGTCTAACCTGTTTCATGTGGTGCTACAACTGAAGGCAATGGGCATTAACGATCTTTTTGCACTTGATTTAATGGATCCACCACCGCAAGAAACTTTGGTGTCGGCGTTGCAGAAACTGCGTTACCTTGAGGCGCTTGACGATGATGGATTATTAACCCCACTGGGGGGTCGCATGGCACAGCTCCCTATCGATCCCTCACAGAGCAAGACGCTTCTGACGGCTGTAGACATGGGATGCTGCGAGCCAGTGCTGACGATTGTGTCGATGCTTGCTGTGCAGAAGCGTGGAGTGTTTTACCGACCACGAGACCAGCATGAGGCATCCGACGCGGCGAAGCGACAATTCCACCAACCAGAGGGGGATCAGATTACACTGCTGGCAGTTTACGATGCGTGGGTGGCAAATGGCCTCAGCGAGGAATGGTGTAAACGCAACTTTTTAAAGCATCGGATATTGATGGAGGCCCGTGACACACGTGAGCAGTTAAGCGACATGTTACACAAGCGCCACGCATCGATTCCGCATCACAACGACGACGCGCTGACCGAGGTGCGGCGAGCCATCACCGCAGGCTATTTTTTTAACGTCGCCAAACGTATCACGGACGTTGCATACGCTACTCTGGCGGAACGGCGTGAGGTGTATGTGCATCCCTCGTCATGCCTGCGGGATGCACCGCCGAAGTACGTTCTGTACAACGAGTTGCAGCTGACGAATCGGGAGTACATGCGGGAGCTGCTGGTGATTGAGCCCCAGTGGTTGGTTGAGCTTGCCCCGGCCTTCTACAGTAGGCCGCGAAAGGGAAAGCTGACAAAGGAACAACGAGCGGAGCGTCTCAACCCAATTTTGCGCGCCTGGGAAAATGGGAGCTCGTGGAGGATCTCAAAGCTGCGTCGCCGGAAGTGACATACGTATATATATATATTTCCTCGCTCGATGCTCGTGAAGGTTACATGACAACAGGCGGTACGCGACGGGGGTTGCAGGTTGATAACATGAAGACGTGTCGCCACTGTTCTTTTCTTATCTGCTGAGGGCGAGCGGGTGGGATATACGATGCCGCCGTGATGCGTCACGCGGCGAATTGTGCTATTCCCACCTCGAAATATTCTTCTTCTTTTATTATTATTATTTTGTTGTTACTGCTTCCGTCCACGCCGTGAATGCATGTTTTTTTCTTTCTGTTGGGAGGAACTCTGCGGGACACGCCGACGAGGAGGCGGGGAAGAGACCACAGTGTTCTGAGGCGGAGGGGTAGCAGCCGAACGAAGGAAGAACCGTCAAAAAGGAAATTAGAAAAACAGAATAAAAAAAAAAAATAATAATAGAGCAATAAAGGAGATGTTTTTTGTGTTTCCCTCCGTTATCTATCCTCGACGCACGGAGGAAAGGATCTTCAAGGGACTTTACCATATTTGCAACGCCGCCCATTTCATCAGCCTTATTGTGCTGCTGACAGAATTCTACGTGCGGCAAACGAGCGTCTTTCCTGGATACTTTGGCGGCGGGGAGGTCTCCCTGTCCCCGGGGTTGGAGGCCGCGAGCGAGAATTGCAACTACAGCAAAAATATCCGTATTGGTGAGATCCGCACTGTAATACACGTGAATAGCGAGACTTTGCCTCTTCCTCTGAGGGTGATGGCGGAATGCATTATTGCTATTCTCGTGGTGCAGTTCTTGGCAGTAATCAACAACGTTTTGAGTCTCTTGAATTACTCAGCGGGACGCCGTCATCTGCGCATATGCGGCGTGCATGTACCATTCTATCATATCCTGAGCACTTTTTCCATCATCTACTGCGTTGTGCTTATCGCGATGGTGTGGATCACGTATCCCGCGAGGAATTTCTACAGGGAGGCCATCTTGGCCTGCGCGGCAGAGGTGTTTGCCAAAAACTCGACAACGCTGGCGGAGTCGGAGTTTGATGGGTACGATACTTTTTCAACCCCTGTCGAGTGGGCTTTTTCCGCCGCAGTGATTAATCTTTTTATATGCTTCTTAGGGGTTGGGGTACTCATATGGAAGTCGTACAAACCAGAAATAAGGCTTTTCTCGGAGGCAACGGTCCCATGGGAAGGGCGCGGTCTGTCGTGCAGGCCAAATAAGGCGGCACTTCGCATTCACACAATAGCGCGTGACAGAATTTTGAGTGAGGCCCGTGAGGCGCTTGACCAAGGTCAAAAGGTACGCATTATGTGCAGCTACGCGCTCATGACGGAGACGGAATACGAGGCGCAGGTGCAGGAAATGCAGCAGCTTTTTGCTACGCAGTTGAAGGAGCAGCAGTTTGAGCATTTGCACACGCACTTTGACCGCGAGTCGGAGTTGGAGGGGAATGGCCTCTTGTGGCGTCGACAGACCTCTCCGCCGCCACCGCCACCGGACGATGCGGATCAGTTCTTCAACATGGAAGATATTTCGCCAGTGAACGATGACGGCATCAAAATTGGCGGCGGGGATGAGTTTTGCGAGATTCTTGACGAGCCCGAAATTGAGGAGAGGTTCTGGAGCGAATGCGAAGGGAGCGGCTACGAAGCTGAAAACGCGGACGACGGGGGCGAGTTGGCGAGGGGGCCGCTGCAGGAGGGCGCGCAAGACCACCGACTGCGCAAGAAGCGTCGCCGGCATCGCCACCAGCTCGGTGTGGAGAGTGAAAGCGCGACTCAACGGGAGAGGGCGTCGATAGTGCAGCCGGATTTGGGGGAGGCATTGTATGATGGCGAGGCAGCGGGGCAGGAAGGGCTGCAGGGCGATAGCGAGGAGTCGCTTCAGGGCCATCGTCATCATCATGCGCGCCGTCGTCGTCGTCGTCGACACCACTCACACGCAGTTGCCGAAAGGGACGGTGAGTCGGAGGGACGGATTGCTGCTGCAGAGGTGCGGTTTGAGGATGCCGATGAATTGTAAAGTCATTTGCAACATCTATTGCTTTTCCTTTCAAAGCGGGCGTCTTTTTTTTTTTTTTTTTGCTTTCATTTGTATGTGTGGACTGTCGGCTGCTGTGTGGAGGCAGGCCTTTTTTTCCTCTTTTTTTTTCTTTCCAGGGTTCATAGTATGTGTGTGTGTGTGTGCTTGCGTCCGGGTGAGCGTTGTCTTTTTGCCTTGTTCTGTGTTTGCACCACGCAATTGGGTGCACATTTGTTTGTTCCTGTGGAGCAGTGCGTCTCTCTCTCTCTCTGTGTGTGTGTTTCCCTCTACACTGTTTCTTTCTTTTCTTTTTTTTTATTCGCGTACATGCATGTATGACTTTTTTGACCGCAGCTTTAGGGTGTAGGGAGGAGTCAATTGGACAGAAAAAGGGAGGGAAAAAAGGAAAGAACAGGGGGGGGGGAAATAGAAAAGAGGGGAAGAAGGAGTCTAAAACGACACCATCGCACTGTTAGAGCGCATCGTCCGCAGAGGCACACACACACACACACACACATGTATCTGTTGCGTCATGCGGCTTTCTATCAATCAATGTTTTCCTGACCCGCTTGCTCGGCAGTGGCCAGCCACCCATCACCCAGTGCTGTGCGAGTGCCGACAGTTGTATGTGCTTGTTTCCATTTGCTGCTGTGTCCCATCAGCGCACCTTCTTGTGTTGCATGACGGCATGAGTAACAGCACTGTCACTTCCATGCCGAAAGGGCCCACGTACTTGGAGCTCCGTATAACCGAGCAAACCCGGCGAGAGGCGTTTTGTGGATTTCTTATGCGAGCGGAATCAGCTTCAACGGCGTCTGCGTCGAACGGGTTTGTGGAGGAGACCCGGCAAGTGACTGTGGTGTGTCTCCAGGAGTTGTCCGCAGCTTCCCCACAAGTTTTGTCTGCATTGATGGATGTGTTGGCATTTGGCCTATTACGAGTGGGGAATACAGTGAAGCGGGTGCCTTCACTTCGCATTGTTGCCTTTTGTGACGCGCGGACATACGCCATCGCACTTCCCGAGCATGTACGTAATGCCTTCGCTTTGTCAACGTACATGTCAGCCCTTGCCATGGAAAGTGCTGCAGTGATCCAGTCGGCAGATACGCAGAGTTCGAACGTGGTGAACAAGCGCCATATGTTAGAGACGATGCTCTCAGCTGACGGCGAGGACCTCATTGAGACAGTGACGCTCTCGGGCGAAGTATCACGATACTTGCGGCATCTTTTGGTTATTCTTCGCGGTGTCATGCTGGTCCACAGCGCCCCGGGATGCTATGTACCCACATGTATCTCACGTATGCTGCGGCTACTGAAGGTGTTTGCGCTTCTTTTTGCTCCAGCCGCACACGATCGTGTTGGAAAACTGCACCTTTCGCTGCGTTCAACATCACCCCCTTCCCACCGTGGGACTGACTTGGCGCCTATCACAAATTTTTCCCACGTTGTGGTGTCTCCGGCGCACGTAATGTGCTTATTGTGCCCGATGGTGGCGCACCTCTTTTCTATTCGACGCGCGATGGTGGCGTCTACCCTCGGACTCGGCTCTGAATGCAGAAAGAATAGCTTGCCAATGGCCAATGGCGAGGGGGCGAGAGCGGCATTCACATTGTGGGACGCAAGGGCGCTGCACTGGATCTCCGCTGCAGGCAACACACATGCGGATGCCACGTTCAATGGCGACGAGACAGCGCGGTTGGGGTTGTCATCAACGAGGGACATCGCGCGTGTCTTGCGAGGCATGCAGGAGGAGTGGCTTTCGTACTTGGAGTGCCGTGAGCTAATCCGTGTGACGGTGATGCAACATAGTGCCCCGCCCAAGGGATGAGGAGGGTGTGCTTTCTGCTTTTGTTGCTTGTGTGCGTTTTATTATTATTATGCTCGCACGTGTTGTGGGGGCAGTCTTTTTCTGTTCCTGCCCTTTGAGTTGACTTGGCGTTTTTTGTTGTTTTTGGAGCAGAACGCATCTATACTATTATTTTCTTTGTTTCTACCCCTCTACGCTGCACGTGCGGAGAAGTGTGTTTCTCTCTCTCTCTCTCTCTTTTTTTTTTTTTTTTTTTTTCTGTGTGTGTACGAAGAGCGACGAGGATCGGGGAGGGAGCGAGACGGAGGCTCTCTTTGCGCAGGATGCACTCGCCGTATGAGGCTGTTTACGGCTTTGACCGAACACATATCCGACGGATGACTCTGCAGGAGTACATGAGTGAAAAGGACGCCCCTGCCGCTGGCTCATCTTCGCGGCGTGACGACGGATGCCGTCTGTTGATTTCGCGGGATCCCAACGTGGAGTTCTGCACGAAGTACCCCGTGCATGACCGCTTTGGGCGCGAGCTCTGCGTGCTTTACCAGATTCTGGAGATGGAGCTGCAGCAGGAGATTCGCCGAGTGGAGCAGGGGGGCGATGGGACGCGGAAGTCCGGGGTACGTCTTAGCACTGAGATAACGCTGGACGACGACTCGGTGGATGAGCCTTTTAAGCCGCGGCAGCGGGAGGACAGGGGCAGTGCGTACCACCCGACGCCGTTTGTTCACACCGCGCTGGCGGATGTCAACTGTGGCGATGGCGGCAGGGATGATGATAACAGCAACGTCGACGTTTCCGCTTCATCCTACCGGTTCTCCAGCACGACGGCGTTGTCGCCAGGAGGGAAGGGCTTGTGTAAAGGCGTTTGTGACGCACGTGGGTCGAGTTTTTCGATTTACCGCGAAAGCGGGCTGAACGCCACAGCGGGACTGCTCCAACAACCACAAGGCACGAACCGTCAACAGCTTTTGCAGCAGCAGGGGCTTGGTGTTGCTTCCGATGGTCATACTTCTGTTCTCACAACGCGGTTTGGTGTGGGGTGTGCTGCATTGCAGCCCCCGCCCCCGCAGCGCAGCAACACGGCGTCCCCCCCGCGTGCTGTTGACGGTGGCGGCAATGAAGAAGAGGAGGAAGAAGAAGGCGGCTGCGGCGGCCTTTGTGTGACAAGAGAGACGCTTGACACGACGTTGGGAAAGGACCCGCTGCGGTTCACAACAACGCGCCCCTCTGAGCTGCGCACAACAAAACAGTTGTTTCTCCCCGGACGAGCAACAGTGACTGTGCGTCGTACCATCAAGCACTCCAACCCGATCCCGCGCCAGGCGTACGGCTTACAGAGTGAGTTTATTTCGGCTGCTCTCGTTGCTCCTCTTGTTGCTGCCAACTTGGAGGCCATAAGCAGCGCTGGGGAGTTCAGGAACATTGATGGGGTGATACCACAACTGTTTACCGGTGCGACAGTGACACTCGAGAAATGCCGCTACCGCATCCACCGTTATTATGCTTCCTCCGATGTGTATGAGGCTCGTGAAGAGGAAGCATCTGATGACTCACCACAGATCCTGCTGTATTGTTGGAGTGTTCACGCGGTACAACTGGGGGAAAATGAGTCTCATCGTGCGGCACTTGGTTTGTCTCTTGTTGCTGCCTCTGTGAGTGTGAAAGGTTACCGCTACAGAGACGGCGGCTTGACTGTTATCACCATGCCGTTGGGCTACTATGCGGTTCCACTCTCCATGGTACCCATTTCAGCTCGTTCTTTCCCCACTTGCATCAAGCTTCTCTTACGGATGCTTTCTGATCTTGTGGTTAAGCGCACTGTTCACGGTGATTTAAGGGGACTAAATCGAATTTTTATTGCCTTTCGGAGTGGGAACGGTGCACAGGAAATGCCATTGACTTTGTTGGTTCCTGTGCATTGGGAGGGACTAGTAGACTTCAGCATGTTTGTTGACCGCAACGCAGGTCGCACGATTCCCATGGTTTACGACGAAAGTGGCGGTCGGAGAGGAGAACGCGTTTATCATGGCCAGGATGTGTCCATGGTGATAACTATGCTGCTCGAAAACGAACTTGCGGAGCAGCTGCAGCCTGAGCAGCTCACTGAAGTACAGCGTCTCATGATAATGACGACGGAGCCCACGCAGGTGGCGAATTACCTGATCCAGTTGAAGAACGGCATGACGGTCATTTCATCCGACATGGCTTCACTGCGGCAGGAGTACGAGGTGGCACTTCAGTGTCAATGATACCCAGAGGATTCTGCACGCACACCTACATATATATATATATATATATATAATAGACGCAAGGGGACGTCTCTTTCCTTATCGCTGTGCTACTGCTGGCTGCGGTGGTTTGGACGGTCGTGGCAACACTGTGATGATGATGGTTATGAAATTTATTATTTATTAGCTTTAGATTTTCCCTTATTGACGTGATTAGATATGCTTCCCACGTAGAAGCAGTTGGCTGGTTTTCCCACGAGGCGCAACTGGCAACAGGGATTAGAGACAGAAGAGAGTGTGTGAATTGGATGGACTGGAGGAGAGACGGTGAAGGGAGGCGATGATGGTTTGCAAACAGCCTCTTTTTTTTTTTTTTGACTTTGTTTTAACGCTTTGACCTCTTTTTTTTTAATTTTTATCTCTTCCATTCTTTTTCTTTTGTGTGTTTCACAATGCAGGAGCTCAGGGAAGCAAATAAGTTAGAAAGCGTATTACTCTCCCTGAGAAGTCTACAAATCACGGAGGGGATGATGAATACAACGCTGGTGTTGATTAAACCGCACGCGTGCCGAGAAAAATTCCTTGACGTTGCGCGTGAACACTTTGACCAATATGGAGTTCGCACGGATGACACGATGCTTTTGTCTGGTTCTCAGGTTGAGCGCGGGGCCTACGTGGAGCGCCACTACAGCTCGGTGCATGCTCTGGCTGTATGCTCCTTGGAGGACCTGAGTGCATTTGTGTCGGAAGAAACTGCGTCTCTTTTTTTCTCGGCATTCGGTGAGCTGTGGGATGCTGCAGTGGAGGAGCGGCGGGTGATGACACCTGACGATGCCATGACAATTCTTGGCCTCTCCCCAGAAGAGTTAAATGCGCGGTGGTGTGCCTCGAAGTCATGTGCCCGGCTTGAGTACGGTTTTTATGTCTCTTATTTGGAGGAGGAGCGGGTGTATGTAGTCAACGGCTTCTACCCAAGTCTGCTGGGTTCCTTCACCGCAACCGATAGTCAAACGTGCCTTTTTGTTCTTTCTTGGCCGGAGTCGATGTACACGTGGAAGCAATTCAACCTGGAGGTTCTTGGAGCGGCGAACCCCAGCGAGGCGGCGCCGACGTCTCTGCGTCGTTTGTTGTTTGAAAACTGGAGGGAATATGGACTGAGTGAGCAGCCGAGCCTGATGCATAACGGCCTGGACGCCTCCAGCGGGCCACTCGAGGCGCTGGCACATCGCTCTGTGTGGATGCATCGGCGAGCCACGGAGGACGATTTTGGACGAGCGCTTCTTCAAGAGGGGGTTTCACTTGAGTTTTTGGAACAGTTGTTGAAGAACCCCACCATAACGTACGGTGGGGAGACCCGACCGATTTTTGAGCTTCTGGAGGACTTGCAGAGCAGCGAGGTGATACACCACTTGGCGGTTTTGTACGCCGCGGAGAAGTTAAAAAGAACGAACCAGGCGTCCGTTGGATTCGGCACGAGCAACACCATCTCGGGTGCCGCGGAATGGACCATTGTGCTTGACGATGAGGATGCTGAAGAGAGACGCAACAGAGCCTTAGTTTTTGTAAAACCGCATGCCAACACACCTGAAACAAGGGCACTTGTGGAGGAGCGTCTCATGCAAACCCGTGGAATGCAAATCGTCAGTCAACGTCACGTTTTTGGCGGTGAAATTGCGGCACAGCAGTTGATGTACAAACACTACCGAACCATAGCCCGTTACGCCGTCAAGGTTTCGCCGATGTCTATTAATGTAAGCACGCAGAACAGAGCCCTTTTTAAGGAAGTGTTTGGTATTGCTTGGAAAGAAGCAGTTTGTTCTGGTCGTGTCTGGAATGCTGAAACAGCCATACACACTCTTGGTGAAATCTCCGCCGTTGAGCTTTACGGGATGTGGGGTTCATGTACGAAGACAATGAAAATTGCCTCAGGAGCGTACGTGGCTCAATTTTTAAATGAAAAGGTTTTTGTGATCAACGGGTTTTACCCTTATCTGCGCGATACGTACGGCGCTCAAGATGCAAAGGTGACATGCTACCTTGTTTCCTGGCCAGAGGCGTGCATGACATGGCGTGCGTTCCGTGAGGAGTTGATTGGAAGCACAAATCCCGGCAACGCACCTCCCAACAGCCTGCGCGGTCTCATACGAGACCGGTGGCAAGAATTGGGCCTGCAATACCCGCCGACGACAACCGATAACGGGGTTCACGCATCTGCAGGGCCGTTTGAGGCGCTGCTGGAACGCCATCTATGGATGCACTTACCACTCTCCCATGATCCTCTCACGCTGCGACTGCAGGAATGCGGCCTAACAGGGGCTCTGTTGTACCGATGGGCTTCCAACCCAGAGGTAATGCTGCGCGGGAAGAAGCTCTCCGGGTGTGTGTTTGACCTCCTGGAAAACATGCAAACCTCCGAGATGGTGGACATCATGCGCGAGGCGGAGCAACAGACAATGGCATTGTACAAGGAAACGCCGATGAATCGTGCGGTGTTGATTCTTAAGCCCTTTGCTGTGAACGAGCGCACAATTGCGGCGGTAAAAAAAACTCTCGAGTCGGTAGGTCTGCTGGTGACGCGGGAGATGTCCGTTTTTAGTGCTCGCATTGTGAAGTGCTATCTGAACTCTGCTGCGTTTTGCGCCGCGACTCGCCTTGCCGAAATCAATTCTTCGACTCCTCAAGAAGTTGTCAGCCCTGCCATCAAGGACCGCTTTTGTGAGATCTTTCACTCAACATGGGATTATTGTGTGGTTGACGGAAGTCTGATGGGTGCCACGACTGCATGCGAGAATTTGGGTCTCACTCCAAAAGAGCTCTTGCAGCTGTGGGAGGCGTCGAGCCCCAAGAAAGTTGGACGGGCGTGCTACATAGCATTCTTGAAGGCTCAAGGCGTTTTTGTCATCAATGGGTTTGTTCCCTTTACCCGGGAGTGCTACGGAAGGCCTGGTAGCCGAGTTTATTTATTTGAGTTGGAGTGGAAGGAAAGCGCATGGACATGGAGAGACTTTTGCGAGGTTTTGATTGGAGATTCTTCCAGTCCACAGAACGCTGCTCAGGGCAGCCTGCATCGTACCTTTGCAGACGAATGGTCGAAATTTGGTCTGCAGCAGCAGCCAGTGTCCAGGGCGACGAGTGCGCTCTACGCGTCGGAGGGACCGTTGGAGGCTGCTGCCGACCGCGAGATGTGGCTGGATGTGGATTTGCCGGAGGACTCGTTTGTACAGCATCTGTTGCTCGACGGTGTGCCACTCTCATTGTTGCTCCCGTACGTGCGTAACGAACATCATGGCGGCTCCGTTTCGCAAGGCCCCCAGCAGCAAGAGCATGAGGGAAATGGTTTACTAGCTGGTGCTATACCTGAATACACACGGAGCATGTTGTCGAAGCATCAGCAGAGCAGTGAGGTAGTTCGCCGGATGAAGGCGCTCACTTCGCGTTTCCTGCGAGCCATAAAAATGAATTATGCATTTATTTGGGTTAAACCACATGCAGGCACCCCGGAGGTGTTGAAATGGATCCCATCCGCCCTGCAAGAGCACCGTCTCGAAGTTGTCGCCTCCGGACACCTGATGATGGAAGAGGTAATTGAAAAACATCTTGTTGATCAGCAGTATAATGCCCTTTATCGCAACGCCATGGGGCGGAGTGCGGCGGAGGTGCCTATCTCTGCTAAGCAAAAGGTGGAATTTGAGCGCACCTTTGGCATCACTTGGAGCACCGCTCTAAAACTCCACATGATCATCAACGCTGCAGCAGCTGAGGAAATAATGGGCGTTGTCGAATTGTTGGAGGCTTGGAACAGGGCCACTCGCAAGGTCTGTCTTTCCGCTGATCTTTATGTGGCCTACCTCGAAGTGGAAGGCCTCTATGTTATCAATGGGTTCTACCCCTACCTCCGTTCCCGCATGTATACCGGATCCCGCATCTATTGGTATGTGGTGATGTGGGATGGGGAGATCATGACATGGGATGAATTCCAGAGGTATGTTATTGGTGGAGACGTTCCGGCCACGGCGGAGTCGGCCTCTCTGCGAAACTTGCTGTGGGCATCGTGGGTAGAGTTGGGTCTGCCTCAGCAGCCTGACGGTGTTGACAACGGGTTTCATGCCTCCGCTTCTCCAATAGAGGGACTTGCAGATCGCGTCGCATGGCTTGGGACGAGTGTGGAGGACGATGTCTTCGGACGGCTTCTCATTCAGGGAGGGGTGAGCGCCGAGTACCTGCGCACTCTTTTGCGGAATCCATTGGTGCGCCACCGCGACGAGCCTGTAGACGCTGTGGGTGATGTTTTTGAGAAGCTCTGCACGGAGAATCCCCTTTTGATTGCACAACTTGTTGGACTTCAGTCGACTGGCGGCATGCATCTCATATCTAATCGCGCCTGCTCCGGTGCGGCATTCTCTCGACCGCCCCTTTCCAGACAAGGGACACCCATTGAGAAGACCAGCACGAATAAGAACACCAACGAACCGGCGGTAGAGATGGTGTGGCAAACTAATGAAGCTGCAGGTGTCGTCTCTCCTCCTTCTCCTCCTGCCGCTGCCACCGCCACCAAGACACCCAGGCGCAACTATGCGTTTCTCCTTGTAAATCCCAAATGTTTGTCTACTGAGGGAGAAGAGCTTACAACGGCTTACATCACGGACTTTCTGCAGCGCCACAAGATACGGGTTGAGGCAGGGGGAAGGGTAAGGGCCATTGCGCCAGCACTGCGACATGTGTGGGAAGAACTTCAAGCCGATACTTTTAGATACGCCGTGAAGCAGACACCTTCTCAATATGCTATTGGCGGGGATGCAATTTCTGCTTTTGAAGCTGCCTTTGGCGAGAGCTGGGATCCTGAAAAAATTTGGAATGCTCTGGATACCGCTTTGGAGTTTAATTTGTCTGCGCTGCGCCTGAAAGAATTGTGGGATGGCTGTGCACTGCGAAAACGAATAGCACCTTTTCTCTACATTGGGAAGATGCGAGATCGTGGTTTGTACCTTGTCAATGGATTTGCTCTCCACAGCACAGAGGTGTTTAACTTGTCATCTACCATAAAACGGTATTTCTTGCTTTCATGGGACGATGCCGACGCTGACTACGCTCAATATCTACGTCATTTCATTGGCGATTCATATGTGGAGCAGGCAGAGCCTGGCAGTCTGCAACGGCTGCTTTGCGATGATTGGAAAAACGCTGGACTAAAATGCCCGCCTGATCCTTTTGAAGGGGCTGTAATGACATCTACAAGTTCCCTGGAGGCCATACAGCAGCGACAGCTGTGGCTCTCGTTGGGTTTGTTGCGAGATCCAGTGGGCTGCTTTGCGGTGAGGCAGTTGGACGTTTCACCCTATGTGTTGCGCTGGGCTGTGAGCAACCCCCGCTCAAGGCGAGGCGACGGGCTCTACTTGTTTGAGACAGTGCGTGGACAAGGCTCGGCGGATGCACTGCAGCTACTTAAGGCTGAAGACACACGGCATCGTGCTGCGCCACTACGCAACTCTGCTTTTGTGCTTGTTAAGAGTCACGCCCTGTGCCGTTCTTTTGCCATGACAATTGAGATGGTGCTTTCAAATGCAAATGTGCGTATCGATGAAGAGGGGGATTTAAGCGGTTTAGTTGTACGTGGGAGGGGACTTGTGCAGCACTTGTATGCCACCGCATCCAGGTATGCGGTGCGTGAGGTATCAACCATCCGTTTGACCGAGGTGGAACGTGAGAGGGTGCGTCGGGAGCTTGGCGCTGATTGGAAGGAGCTTCTGCGTGGGGGCGTCATTGTGAACGCGTACCAGGCCCTGGAGGTGCTTGGTGGTGTTACGCCGCAGTATCTTTACGGCTGTTGGAAAAGATCCAGTCGGAAGTTAGTCATTCGCCCGAATTTTGTCGTTGCGGAGCTTTCGGAGTATGGCATCTTCGTTGTGAATGGCTTCTTCCCGGAGTTGAAGAATTCCCTTGAGTCCACCACCGCTCTGCTTCATTGGTATGTCGTCTCATGGTGTGAAGAGGAGATGAGTTGGCCCGCCTTTCTTGATCAGGTCATTGGGGATGATTGCCCGAGCGTCGCGGTGCCGCAAAGCATTCGTGGACAGCTTTTTCAACGATGGAGAGAGTACGGCCTTTCCATGGAGCCGGATTTACTGCACAACGGCATCCATGTAAGCGAGGGTGCGCTTCAGGCAATGCGAGATCGCACCAAATCCCTTAACTGTCCGTTGAGCGAGGACTATCTTGGCGATGCGATGTTACGCCACGGTGTGCCGGAGAGGATTCTGCGTGTGTGGCTTGACAATCCCGACGTCACTTCAGGCGGAGTTGAGGCAGGCGTGTTTGAACATCTGCGGCACTGCGACACCTCGCGCCTGTTGATGTTGCTGACTGCGCTTACAGAGGAGTTGCGCTGCGAGGAAAGCGACGGGACGACAGTACAGGCAGCCCGTATTCCACTCGTAGAGAACAACGACGGCCTCACTGCACCACTTCAAGACGGCTCACAGGAGGGCCACACACGGGGAATCGAAAACGACAACAACAAGAACGAGTCGGTCTTGGGAAAATTTTTGGATGAAGCGGAAGGGGCGCTTCTTTTTCGAAACACCGCCGTGATTATTTTGAAACCACACGCCTCCGAAAATCTTGGAGTCATGGCGCTGCTGGAGCGCATCCTTACTGGAAACAACATTCGCGTAAGACGGGAGCTCCGCAAGCGAATTAATCCCCGAATAGTAGATCAGCATTTCTCTTCACCCATGTACTACGCCATGCAGAAGTACCACACGGCATTCCCAGAGGTAACAGAGGAGGGTCGAGTGCGTTTCTACGAGGCCTTTGGAGAAGAGTGGGAGCACGCAATCGCCTCTCAGCGTGTGATGGGTGCCTTCAACGCCCTCAAGCTTTTTTCAATGACCCCATCCCAACTCTATGTGAAGTGGTCACTGTCAGAACAAGGGCACGTGCAACTTGCCTTTGATATGGAGGTGGTGAAGTTCTATGCGGAAGGTGTTTATGTCGTCAATGCAACTATTCCTTTGGAGCGCGAAAGGATGATTCAGGTGGGGCAGGTTACGCAGGATGTCCACTGCTATTTGGTGAGTTGGGACCAGCGAGAGTGCAGTTGGCAGAAGTTTCTTTATGAGGTTATTGGCAATACGGATCCGGCTACTGCCGCAGAGATTTCGTTGCGTGGTCAACTTTACAATGACTGGGAGAAATTTGGCCTACCATCCAGGCCCAACCGCATCGACAATATTGTTCTGGCAAGCTCTGGACCACTGCAGGCATTCATGGAGCGCGAGCTTTGGTGCAGTACGGCCGATTTGGTTCCTGATCCACTTGTTCGAGCCCTCTGTTATGTCGACTATGACTCCAGCCAACTATTCGAATGGAAGGAAAATCCTCTAGTGCAATACACAGGCAAAAAGCTGGGCAAACATTCTGTGGCGATGCGCATGTTTGGTTTTACTCATGAAATGGACACAAGAGAGTTTCTCGAACTCATGGCTGAGCATGATGGCTTTTTTGTTCCCACTGTCCCCCCGTGTGAGATGGAGGATGCGCAAGACCAGTCGTACGAGTCATTCGAGATGAAGGCTGACAGAACTGTAAAGAGGTCTGGAAAGAGGCAGGCCCATCGTTCGGCCAAAACATTGCCCTTCCGCATGAGGGACGAGAGATCGGTGGACTGGCTGCAGGAGGCGCTGTTGAAGGCGGACGAGGACGATGTGGTGCGTCTGTGGGAATATTATGGTGGCATTGCAGATCGAGAGGAGGAGGAGGAGGAGGAGGAGGGAGCAGCTGGTGCGTATGCCGATGAGTTGTTCTCCACCACGGGTCTGCATCGAAGGCTGCGGGGGACGATTAACGGTGAGGCCTTCCGGCGGGATATTGAGGCGCTGGATTGCTTTGGGCTTCCGCTCTCCAGGTACAAGGTGAAAAAACTGTTTGAGGGCATGGCGTGGCGTGGGGATGGACGCATAACACACGAGGAGTTCCGCGTGGCGATGGCGGTACTGCAGCAGATGTAGTCTTAGCAGAGAGAGGGAGAGGGAGACGCGTGTGGTGACGAATGAACCTCCCACCCCTTCAAAAAAAAAAAACCGAAAAATTTTTTTTTAAAAAATTATTTCTACTCTTCTTTTTCCCTGTTTTTGCGGTGGTTGCGTCGTTGGGGCTTTTGAGTTCTGCCCGAGTCGGCCGACCCGAGCCGCTGGGGATTGGGGGGGGCAAAAGTGAGGGAAAATACGTAGTTTTCCCTTACGCCGCCTGCATGTAAATTGACGGTGGGCTCGGTTTGTGGGTTTTGTGCGGGCTGTGGACCTCCTTCCTTGCATCACCAGATGTAAGACACAAAAATAGATGTATGTACTGTGAACCTTATTGATAAGAACGAAGGAAGAGGAGGAGGAGGAGAGAGAGGGCTGGGAAAAATTAACACTCCGAGGATATATATATATATATATATATATATATATTTGCCATTGCCTATTTCTTTTTTTTTTTTCTTTATGTTTTTTTTTTTTTTTTTTTTTTTTTGCACGACATCAATGCGATGCGAATAATGAACGCATATTAAGTTAGCGGCGCTCTGTAGAAACAGAGAAGAAAAATGCTCGGCGATGACGAAATCATTGGTGCAGCGGAGGCCGTGGTGCATGCGTACCTCGTGGTCCTTCTCCACAGACCTGACGCTGCCGTCACAGAAGCCTCATCACAGACTCATCATCGCCACTCAGCTCCTTGTGGGATGGGCGGGCAAAAGATGCCACAGTTTTGCGAAACGAAATGTACATTTACAGAGAAGAAGATGAACGCGTTGCGGCGTACCGCTCGGGTCCTATACGTGCTTTCGTGCGTGGTGGACATGGTACATCAGGGCCTGACGTGTACGGAGCGAGACGTGTATTACCAGAACACATCGCTCTTTCGGAATGGACAGAGAGATGTTCACACTAGCATTGAAAACCTTTGCCGTTGGATGGATTCCACGCATCCATTGGGGAATGCAGATGACCCCGAGAGTATCGGGCGCCGACGCTACACACGCGAGGGGCTCCGCATTGCTGCTAGTGGAAAGAGTATTCTTATCGGATACATCTCGTTTGACATTCCCAAGCGTTCACCAGTTTTGTCCTCTTTATCTCAGACGACGCAGATGACTCTGGGGAATGTCTCGCAAACGCAGTTTTGTTTTGAGAAAACCTCCAATTACTTGACAGGTACGGTGGAGATGAATGGCATGCGTCATTCCTCTGGGATTCTCGTAAACATGGCAGTGGGGATGCGCGGCTGTCATTTTCGTGGTGCAGAGGGGGTGGGTAGCCTGCCGTCTGCTGTGATCCTTGTGGAGAAGGAAAGCACGCTGCGAACGCTTGTGGTAGCAGAGGGCGTCTTGGGCCTCGGTGCGCCCTTGAACCGCTGTTCTTTTTTGTGCAGCAAAGGATACCCGTGCCGGGCCTCACGCACGCTTCTACACAAACTCCACTGTGAGTTGCCTCAGCTGCCTATTCTTGTTCTCGTCGATGGGGACCCTCATGGAATGCGCATCGCCCTGACCTTCTTGGGGCTTTTTGGCGGAGTTGCCTCAACAAGACGACGAAAGCAAAAAAAAAGGCCGTTTGCCTCGGCGGAATTTATTTCTACTCTTCTTCCCGCTCGTTGGATTGGCGTGCGTCCCTCGGCGCTCCCCCACCAGGCTACAGGGAGGGCGCCACTGACACCCTTGGATCGACGGGTGCTTTCGCAAATGATGGCGCGGGTCGTGGAGGCCCTTTCTCTGCTTGAAGATGAAGTGGTCGATGCAACCTGCAGCGGTGAGGAAATAAATATCATTCGCGGTACCCTAAATAACATCCTGCGCGAGGCGGAGTGGATGAAGGAGAAGTCATTGAAGTGCGCCCTTCAGGCCTGGCCGGATGGTCCCCTCCATCTTTTGATGGATTCACTTGAGCCGGGACGGCCCGTGTAAAACTATTTTTTTTCTTCTTTTTGTTGATTTCTTTTTTCTTGCGTGTTTTCAGATGACTCTTTTTGCGGGAGAGAGCGGGATAGAGAGGGTGTTGTGTTGGCTTGACAGGGGCATGGATCAATAAAGCTGTAAAGGAGGAAATCGGTGCCATTCAGATATGAGTACGCACATGTATGACGGTTTGTTGAATGGACCCGATGAGTGTAGTGCGATGTGCAGTGGGCGCATTTCTTTTTCCTTCTTTTCCTTTTTTATTTTTTTGTGTTTGTGTTTGCATGTATTTATGGTTAATGCATTTTCTGCCTCTCTTCCGCTGCGCCTGCCTTTGCCAGAAAGTAGAGCAACAGCAAAGGAATAAAAGAGGGGTACAATTAACTTGCAGCCTGCGAGGGAGAGGGTTACTGAACTCGATTGTCTTCATTAGAAATGCCACATGTATCTTACCAGCATAATCCCCGATCGATTGCTGACGATCCTCTTTATGTTGCGGCGGGAAGCGCACCGTACACCCGAAGTGACACGCCGGTGTCGTTCCGCGTTTTCCCAAACGGGACCTCCTCGTTCGGTAGCGATCTCCTTACGAGTAACGAGAGCATCGCACGCCGCGTAGCCGAGACAAGGGAGTGGCTAGGCAGGATGCGCGAGGAGGTGCGAGAAGCAAAGCGAAAGTGCAAGGCGGAGGAAAAAAGTGCATCGCTGCTCTGTTCGGTTTTGCGGGCGAGCAGTGCCCTAATGACGGAACGGGCTAAAGGCCGCCGTTCGTCGCGTGGAAGGGCTCGCCAATTTCGCTTTGCACTGTATTCATTTCTAGACGGGACGCCGTTCTTGACACCACAGGCACTCTGCCGCTACAACACGGCACTTGCCGAGATGTTGAGTGACGACCATTTGGAGTTGATTCGTCGCCATGTTTTTAACTACGACGAGGAGGCCTTTGCGAATCTTCTGTACGCGGACGAGGTGGCAGAGTCTCTTGAGCGGCGCGCGCCGTATGGTGGTGGCGAGTTGGTGCCCGAATTTGTGCAGCGCTTCAACGAGACCTCGCGGCGCGCGCTGGAACGGCTTTTCGCAGCTCCTGGGGGCCTTGCCGACGCCACCATCAATGCGGCACACCGTGTGCCCATCGTGGCTGATGATGTAGAGAATGTGGCTGTTCACGGGGAATGAGTTTGGGTCGTGTGCGTGTGGGTGGGTGGGTGAGTTGGATTTGTATGTAAATATGTAACTTCGTTGGTTGCGCAGTCATAATTTAGTGACTTGACGCGCGTCTTTGCAGTTAATCTTTTTTTTTTTATATTTATTTTGCTTTCAACGCCCACTTCTTCGCCATTTCTTTTATTTCCCCTTCCCGCACTTCTCTTTGTCAATTTCTCTCGTTTCATCATTAGAAAAGGCACCTGCGTGCATAACTGCCAGGGAGAACTACGAACAATTAAATCTTTTTTATTTTTATTTTTGCTTTTTATTTATTTATTTTTGTTTGAGTTTTATTTGTGCCTATTGGCCCTTTCGGCAATGCGACTTTGTGCGTTTCTTCTGCTCGTCGTTCTATTGTTCGTTGCACTTGTGGCTGGTGTACCAGCTGCCCAGGCCGAACTCAGCTGCCCATACTGCACGCAAAAAGGATACCCGTACTTGTGCAGCGTTGCATTTTCGGAATCATCAACGTGTTTTTCCAATTCAGGCGAAGTTCAATGCAACGAGAACAAGTGTAGTTGTTGTCGGAAAACCGCGGCCCCTGGATGCATCGCGTGCGAGGGGGAAGAAGAACAAGAGGAGGAAGAGGAGGAGGAACTGTAGGAAAAAACATAAAAATAAATACATAAGTAAACATACAATAAGGAGACCCACTGCGGTTTGTGTGTTGTAGTTACTGAGAAGCGAATAGGATAATATCGAAATATGTTATGTGGTGGATGAAGAGTCACGCTTGGGTGCAGCAATCACGCAATGCGTCTCGCTGAGCCACACGTTTTTTTTTTCTTTATTATTATTATTAGTTATTTTGTGATGATGCTGACAATAACGCTGTTTTATTTTTATTTTTATTTTTATTTTTATTTTTATTAAGAGGGCGGGCGGGAGGGCAGCGAGGGTGATGTCTTTGTCGTCCCTTTTATCCGCCCAGCACGAAGACTGCCGCCCTTTTGGGTGGGGAGTCCGGCGGGCGGGGGGACCCCAAAGGCTGCCACCCTTTTGAATGCATAACGAGCCTGGCCGTCGTGTATTTATTTATGAGGGTGTCTGCTTCCCCTCCACCCCTTCTCTTTCTCTCTTTCTCTCTCTCTGTGTGTGTGTGCATTTTTGATGGATTTTTGTTGCAGTGTGGGGTCTCTTGGGCCTCGTGCACCCAGCTGTGATCTTCTCTTGCTTCTTTTTTGTTATTGTGGGAATAGAGAGGGGAGACTGGGTCTCGTTCAGGCGCGTGTTTGGTTTTGTGATGGACTCCAGCGCCCCGCTGCACGCGCAGCGCGTGACGTTTTCGGCGCGACAGGTAACTGAGGCTGACGGCGTGGACCCTCGCTTCGCGGAGGTTGTGCGTGCCGCTATCTTTGAGGAGCACAGCGTTGAGCTGGTGAGCGGCGGCGGTGCTCCGGACTGGAACGGCGCGGCTCACAGGGGGGGGAGGGATTGACAAAAAAATCGGGAAACAAACAAACTTTGACTGACGGGGATTTTGCGTCTGCCCCTCGTGAGACGGAAGGGGGGAGGGGGATAAGCGAGTGGAAATTTGTACGTGTCCGTCTGTTCATGGATGTGCTGCGCAAATTCTTATATTTACGACACGTTGTACACACATACACACATGCGCGTCCCGTTCTTTCTGTTCTTCTTTGCGCCAAATCGAAAGGTTACAGTTAGAAAGAGAGAGATATATCCACGCGACATGTCATCTAACCAGAAAGAAGAGTCCAGGGCGCCGTCGCGGCAGGCCGTTGAGGAGTGGCTGGAACGCATTGATGACATTGCGGCAGCGGTTGAAGAAATACTTCGTGAGGATCCGATGGAGGCCACAATTCGACGGCAGGAAAGGGAGGCCCGGCGCCGGCAAATGCAAATAGACGAGAGAAAAGAGAAGGTGAAGATGCGATATGACCCGAGGCACTACGTTCGATTCGAAAGTGACGAAGTCATTGACAAACTGTTGAAGGAAGCGGAGGTCAGAGGCGAGACGACGCGAAGGGAAGTGAAGGACGAGTCGCTCTATACTCGGGCAGAGCGGGTTTCACTGGAGGAAGCAATTAGACTGAAGGATGATGCCGCGAAGGCTGTAAAGGCATCCGAATGGGAGAGAGCATGCGAACTGTACACCACCGCGATCAAGCTCGATGTGGTGGACGCGGACCTCCAGCGCACACTACGCAACAATCGCGCCCTTGTGCAGTTGAAATTAAAGCGTTACCTTGACGCTGTTGATGACGCGAGTTATGTGCTAAGGGAAGAACCAATGAATGTGAAGGCATTGCTAAGAAGGGCAACGGCACTAAGGCACATACACCGTCCCGTAGATGCACTGAAAGATGTTGAGGAGGCATTAAAGAAGGATCCCGCGAACCAAGAGGCCGGAGACCTTGCACAGTGGCTGCGACGGGTGAAGCGAGAACAAAGCGTTGGCGCTGTTTTCCAGCACCGCCAACCCGAAGAGGCCAAGTGCCTGGAAAACTCGATAAAGATGTTAACTTCCGCAGTGAAGGAATTGCACAATTGTGGTGCGATACCCACTGGTGAGAGTTTGGCAAAAAAGGAATCTGAAGAAAACGCTGAAAAGAAGCCACTGATTCAGGCTGTGGAAAGTGTACGTCGGTGTCTTGGAGTGGTACAAATGTTTCATCAAGGTGCCGCTGTGTTCTTTTTACTTCTTGACGGTTTGAATCCATTGATTGAACTTGTTTGCAAAGCCATCATCGGTGGCTGGTCCGAGCTTGTTGTTTCCATCGCTGCTGGGTCTCCTGAGCAGATGTCGACATGCGGGATGACATTTGTAGTTTCTGCTCGTCTTTTGGCTCTTGTTTTGTTGGGTAGTGAGACCGGCGTTGAGGGAATTGAGTTATCCACTGTGACGACTCTCGTGAGGAAGTTGGCTGATGTGCTTTCCATCGCACTGCAGCAAAAATCGTTAGGACATCGAGACGGTGCCACACTGACGCTGACGGTGGCCATCCTGCAGGTGCTGGAGGGACTGGCCACACGTTGCCCAATTTTGGTTCATGCGCACTGCGTTTCTGTGCTTGTGGAGGCGTGGAAGGTTATGAAGAAAAGGCAGCCGCCTCCGCAGCTGCTTTTCTTTTATTGTGGAATACTTGAGGCGCTAATAAAGGAGCCGTCCGTGTGTGCGTCGGTGGCGAAGGAAATGGAGGAAATTTTGCCGCATGCCATTGAGGTGGCGATAGAGGCGGGGCCAGAGCAGCTAAAGGAAGTTGGTCTTTCTTTGGCTGTGCGTGCCACCTGCGTCAGCAGTGCGTGCGCAAAGAGTTTGGGCTCGTCGGAGCTCACGCGCACTTTTTCAAAGGTGTTGCCGCTCTCTCAAGGCGAAAGTCGGGATTCACCTGTTTCCCCGCGTTTGGAGGAGGGCCTCTATGCTGTGGTGTACAACGTCCTGCTGCAGGCCGAATCACGTTCCCAATACGTGGCTCAGTGGAAAGCCGTCACGGACCCGGGCAGCAGCGGAGATTTTTCGTTTTCACTGCATACCTGGCGTACACTACGTGAACAGGTGGTTGCCGAGGGGAAGTCAACAAGACGCATCACCGTACATGCAAAAATGATGGCCGTTCTTGCAAAGTTTTCTCCCCATGACGAAGCTCTTCGAGGCGCCATGCTGGAGGGCGAGGAGACACTATGGGCGATGCTGTGGCATGCACTTTCAGGACTTGAGCCCCCCGAAGTCGGACCTTCGGCTGCAGCAGACAATCAAAACTTTGCAAATAGAACAGAGGACGAAGAGAAGGAGGGGGAGGTGGAGGCTGTCATTGCTGCTGCTGCATGGGAGCTTGTTGAGCATGCAACGACATGCATCGCCTCCCATTACTCACAGAATCATCTTTTGAGGGAGAAAGGCCTCTCGACTGCGGATCGAATTGCCGTTTTGATGCACATTATTCGTCGTGCCGGGCCTCAGCACGTGGTGGCGCTTGGCAACGCGGGGCTGATCGCGTCGTTTGTACCTTCCGCCAGCTGCAGCCATTTTGCGGCAATGAACGGTGTCGATGTGCTTTTGGAGGGCTTGCGAAGTGTGCGAGACCTTATATTCAAGCTGGAACATGACGGCAAAAGGGGATCGACGCAGTGGATTCACGGTGGGGCCGCGCAGAAGAATCTTGCGATTGCACTTTCTCGCTGTTGCGTGGTGGAGTCACAGCGGGAGCGACTGCGGGAGTTGAAGGGATTTGAGACGCTCCACGCCGTCCTTGAGCCCCATTCCGCATGAACCTCACAAGAAACAAACGAATCAACAGAAAACAAAAAAGACTTTACCCTAACCTTCATGTCACCAATTTCTTAATGCGCACATTTAAGGTACGCGAAATATCAGTGTTTTTCTTTTTCCTTTCTGAGGCGTGTAACGGGTTAGGGGGGACAAAATACGTTGCGAATTGGGATAATTCTCTTTTGTTTTTGGGATGCGGCAATCACTGAATATATTCATTGCTTTTCTCCCTGTTTTTTTTTTTTTTTTTGTTGCGCTGCCCGCGGCGGAATACACAGCAAACACCACGAAAGAAGGAGGGAAAAGGAGGGGGGAGAAGTGACTGTTAATAAGGAGACATTTGATTCGTAGCAGCGACTTTACCCCGACCATTTGACGGGCGACTGGGGGGCATATATTTTGGGTGCACTCTGGCATTATCGACTGGAAGAACGGGGGTCACATCAGCTTCGTGGAAACCGCTCGCGCCGATCCAAGAACATTGATTGATCCGTATGGTTTTAGAGGCGGTGCGGATCGGTAAAGGGCTTCTGAAAAGCCACTGCACCGAGAAGGAAGGACGGATTTTTCTCACGGCGACGTCGGAAGAAAAGTTACTCAGGAAGCAGCGGTGGTATGTACTCTAAGAGCTTATTCCCGATGGCCTACGGGCTCAACAATTTCGAAAAATACTTCAATTGCGTTGACAGTCTGCCCGTTCACTCGTTTGGTCATTTTGCCGACAGGGAACAAGGCGAATGGCACGGCCACCGCCACCGCGGCAGCAACTTGTCGCACAGACAACATGGTTCCAAGTGGAGCGGTTCATTTCACTTTTTTTTCTGCTTGATGAAATGCGAGGCGCCTTTCCAGAGACTCGTGGAGGGTAAAGGACCCACGCTTCTCCTTTAGCCTGGCACACACATCCACACGGAAATACATTTCTGCTCGTGTGTGCGTGTGTGTTATTGTGGTTTATTTCTTCACTTGTCTTCGTTACACTTCTTTTTTGTGCATGGGGGTTGTTTTTTGTTTTTTGTGTCCACTCAAAGCGACTGGTAAATAAATAATGGATTTTTTTTTTTTTTTGGGAGGGGGCACCTTCTCCCATACTTTTGGGGTTTTGCCTGCCGACTTTGTTCACCGGGGACCGTAGTGGGGGCTATAAGAGGGGCCTCACTTGGTTGTTTTAGTGAGTGGTGACGAAAACAAGACACGGCAGCAAAAGGTTGGGGAGACAATCAAACAGGCGGCCAGAGGAAAAGACGAAGACAGCAAGAACAGCCGCACAAGACGGAGGTGCAAGAGAGGCGTTTGGGTCCACGGGACTATCAGCGATAAGCATTTTACTTTTTCCTCCTTTTTTGTTTTTATTGTGGGCTATTGGTGCATATGGAATGTTTCCTTGCAACAAGTGGCCATCCGACTGTTGCAGGTGCGAAGCAATTGATTTTTTGGCTTTCTATATGAGAGTGGCAATAAGCAAAAGGAGGAGTGGCGAGCTGTGGTGCGTATATACTGCAATTTGCTTTGTGCGTTGTGGCTTTGACTGTTTGCGCCGATTGTTTTCTCCCTGAAATCGTGTGTCGTACATATATATATATATATTTGGTAGAATAGGGGTAGGGGTAATGCTTCAGGGTCGCCACCGTTTTTTTAGTCAATCAAAGGCAGCGGAACGGCGCAAGGCTGCCGGGCACTCTCCCGTGGACGAGATGCAGCGCTTCCGCATGCTTGTGTGTTGCATGTTCTGTGGCATTTGCACGTCCCTTATCTACGCCTTTGACCTTTTCACAACGGACTTTTCGAACAGGTTCAATCTCAGCGCCGGTGATCAGTCGACAATCAGCACGGTGGGGCTGGTATTCTGCTACTTCACAATACCATATGGTTTCCTGTATGACTACGGTGGTCCCTTTCCCCTGCTAATTGTCTGCGTACTTACGGCCGGGGTTGGGGCGCTATGTCTTGGACTGACGTTTGACGGTGTCATCACGGGGAATTTGGCAAGCATTTCTGTTTTCTACGCCCTGATGAACATCAGCAGTGGCGTCATTGACGTTGCCTGCATTGTGACTCTGGCAGAGACGTTTCCTCGTAACCTTGGGCCCATCATCGCTCTTGCGAAGGTGGCGGTTGGTCTTGGATCCTCCGTGCTGGCCTCCATCAGCGTGAATCTCTTTCGCGGGAACATCTCCGGGTTCATTTACTTCATCATGGTGTACTCTGTTGTTGTGTGCAGCGTGGCGGCCTTCGTGGTGGTACTTCCCCCGTACTTTATCAACGGATGGCGTCGCCGCGGCAAGACTGAGGAGCAGATTGCCGCCCTGAAGTCCCTGGAGCCTGCGTATCGCCGCCAGTCTGTACCCATTCGTCGCCTTGCCGTTGGCTATGCCGTTGTGGCCCTGCTGCTGGTCTTCCTCAGTGTCCAATCGCCCGTGGTGAGTTACACTAGGGTCTCGAACGGGGTTTCGACCGCCTTTGGCGCCATTACGATCGTGCTTGTGCTGTCTTTCTTCCTGATGCTGCTGCCTGTCCGTTGGCTTGGGGGCATGGACGATCGTGCCGGGGATGAACCCATGCGGGCCATTGTCTCGGAGGAGGCGGTTGATCGGAGTGAGGAGATTTCCTTCACTCGTGCGGACGCCGCTGTGACAAACGCGCCGGACAAGGAACAGTGCCCCTTGCCAGAAATGACTTCCGATACGGCCGACGCCGCCTCAGAGATCCCACAGGATCCCCGCTACGGCGGCACCCTGTGGGACAACCTCAAACGACCGGACCTCTGGTTGATATTCCTCATGTTCATCTGCCAGAGTGCTTTGGGTGTCATTGTGGTTTACAATGCAAGCACGATTTCCGTGGCGTTGACTGGGCGTAAGCGGAGCCAGCAGACCTCCGCGCTGTACACCGCATTTTTTGGTGTGGCCAATAGTGTTGGACGGGTGTGCATGGGGATGTTCGAGGCTTTTGTGCAGCATCAGTCACCCAACAAACGCCGATATCTGGTGACGCTCGCCTTGCCACTTTCACCGTTTCTTGCTGCCGTTGCCGGCACCTTGCTCCTGACGATCCCTGGTGAGGCCATCCTGCTCCCATACATCATCATCTATTTTGAGGAAGGCGTGTTCGCTGCTGTTACTGCGCTGATCTTCCCGAGCCTCTTTGCGAGCCACCACGGTGTGTACTATAATGTCGGCTTTCTGACAACGGTGATTTCTGTCATTGGATTCAACCGCTTTCTTTTTGGCTTTGTGGTGGACGCAAAACATGACAGCTTGGGGTTTGGCCCGAAGGAGGAATGCAGCGTGGCGGAGTGCGTGCGCCTTCCACTCATTGTTGCCACATGTGTGGCAACTGTGGGGACCGTCATGGCAGTTATTGTGCATATTCGCTACAGTCGGTTTGTTCGTGAGGCATTGCGAGGGAGATTTGCTGCGGGTGCTGGACGTACTGTTCCTTTGAGGGTGAGATGTGAGGATGAATGATGAGGAAGCTATTGTTTCTGCTGGTATGAGTATGGAGGCGTGGTAGTATTTTGTTGATTTTGCAAATGTGCTTTGAATTGGAGATTAAGTATTCTTTATTTATTTATTTTTTCAATTTGAGTCTCGTCAGTGTTTTTTGTGGTGTCGACTGCAGTTTGAATGGAGTCCTGAAGGGTGAGGGTGTTATTGATTTAAACATACATATATATATATATATGCATATGAAGATTTTTTTTTTTTGTGTTGTTAAAGTTTTCTTGGTTTCTTCTTTTTTACTTTTGTGAAGACGACGGGGGGGGGGGAAGGGGAGAGGG